CTTTTCGTCCCCCCCCCCCCCCCCCCCGTCCAGAAGAAACAGAGAAAGCGAAGATCAAGTTGGAGGAGCTGCAAATCAAAAAAGTGAAGAAGAAAAAGAAGAAGAAACACAAAGATGGGGAGAAGCACAAGCGAGTGAAGATGTACCACCGCTCCTGCCAGACCATCTGTGCCGGCCTCCTTCTCCTACCACCTCCTCCCTCCTCATCCGCCAACTCCTTCTCCTCCTCCGAGCAAACAAACGACTCTTCTGCATCGCCCTTCAAGTCTCCTCCACCCGTTTACCTCACGCCCAACAACAAAAACTCCAATCTCTGGCCCTCTTCTCCTCCTCCTCCTCCTGCCTCCAAGTCACTCTTCAACTCCTCCAACTCAAAGCTCCCCTTTTCCACAAAACGCAACTCGCAGAGCATCCATCCTGGAATGGCAGGCCTCGAGTTTGCGCCCTACATTTATATCGAAAACCAGCCGAATGGAGGGGCTCTGGTAGCTCATGCGTATGCATCTCAGCTCTCCTCTCTCTCTGTGGACCAGAGGCAGAGATTTGCCCAGGAGTTTGTCACGTTGTCGTTCAGCGAGGACCAGTCCAAGGTAAAGTGCTTCTGAGAAATAAATAACCTTTCAGGGTTTTTTTTTTTTTTTTATTTTTTAAGAGCGCTTTTAATGTTCCACGTCTCATTCTAGAAGCCTAACCTGTCATGTCCGAATCACATTTCCAGATTCTTCCTCTGTTCTGTTGCAGGCAGCTCACTACGTCATGGGAATTGTTCACGGAGGAGCCAAGAACCTTCCCGACTTCTTGGATTACTTTTCGACCAAGTTCCCATCGGCTCCTGTCAAAATGGAAATACTCGGAAAGAAGGACATAGAAACAACCACTATGGCTAATTTCTGCTCTCAGGTAGGTTGAACTCAATCACAGAGAAAATGGAGAACGTACAGAACGCCAAAATTAAAAACGGCCGACACTCAAATGTTTTCACATTCTGTCACGTTCAAACACAATCTTTCCATAGACATAGAGGCAATAATTTTGAAGTGGAATGAGAATTTTCTTTGCAAATAAACTTTTTTTCTTTTAATTATAGCTAGAGCATCAACTTTTTAAGTCTTCTAACAAAATATTTAAAACCACACATCAGTTTCATTTCACTTCACAGTTGTGCGCTATTTTTTTTTTTTTTTTTTTGCAGTCTATTGCAAAATATTTTTGTAAAATACACAAAGGTTTGGGGTTAATTTT